ATTGAGATTTAAGTCATACAATAATGTTAAATAAACAGCATGCTTTGAAGGAAAAAAGATTTCCAAACGTATATTAGAACAATTGTCCTTATAGTATATTTAAGCTAACTTACTCATTATTAAATTAATTATTAAATATTGTAACTTCAATTTTGTTTTGATTTTTTAACTATTTCTTTTTCTTACTTTTTCTTTTATCTAAAAAATGATAATATTTGACTATTTTAACATGTTAATTACTAAAACAGATAATAGATGTAAGCTAATTGTTTAAGTTAATTATTGCATAAATTATTGTTATACGTAATTTCAATATACACTCATAATCGCTTTCAGTTTCAATATAAATACACAATAGGAACAAACTTAAAATTTTGTGGTATTACTGGACTTACATAAATTCCTCACGTCTTTCGAAAAAAATATTTACTATACTTTAATAGTTAAAAAATAGAATATTATCTTTGATATTGTGTATATTTATAATTTAATTTTTTCTTCTTCTTCTTCTCCTTCTTCTTCTTTTTTTTCTTCTTTTTATATTAGACCTTTTGGCCTGTTACATCTCTCATATGCTTGTGCTATTGCGCTCATTAATCAATTGTCACGAGCATATGGGACCTACAGTTTTAATGTCGATTCCGAACGGCGGATTTTTCACTGGTCTATCATGCCAGAGGTTCCGAAGAGTTCGATCCCAGTAGGGGAAATATCCCAGAAATATTTACGCTCATCCTCTCGGAAAAAGCCGGCAACCACCCGAGAGTATTCTTGCCTACAGAAATACCTCTCAAAAATAATTTAACTGAATAAAAAAAATACCTTTCTTATTTATTTTGCTAGTCTTCTTTATTAAATGCTTATTTAATGCTCCTAAATAATTACCACAGCCATATTGAATCGTGATGTCAGAAGCGAGAAATGACACATTAATTTTTATTACATGCCATTTGTATATAAAAAAACAATTTGGATAAAACGAAATGATGAGATATCGCTTTAAAACAATTGTAAAAATGGATGAAAGCTATCCTTATCTCCACTAACAGTCAATAACAAATGATCTTAAAAAAATGATAAAAGGCATGTGAAGTATTTTTATTTAATGCTCATGTGTAGCCTATTTTCATTTATTTTCACTTATTTTCACGTCTCTTTTATCACTTTTTATTATTATTTACTGACTGTCAGGCGGATAAGCACAGTTTTCATTTATTTTTACAAATGTTTTAAAACGATCTTATCATTTTGTTTTATCCAAATTGTTTATATTTAGAAATGACATAACAAAAATTAACGTGTCAATGTGATGACTGCTCAGAGTCCTTAAATATAAAGGCACTAATAGGAACAGTCAATGAATTTAGTATACATTGAGTTGAATATCATGATAGTGTAATATTTTTATATAACACATTTTGCAAGGAAACTACTTAAAAGAATAAAAATTAAAAGAAAAGTTAATTGAAAAGTTATAATTCATAAAATCATGCTTTTAAAGTTTAAAATAATTTAAATATTAAATAGAAGTAATAATAAAGATGTTAAATGTTGATTCGAACATTAAACGTTGATATAATTTTCATAAATATGAAAAATTAAAGTCAAATAATTATTTGAAATAAAATTTTTTTAGTTATCAGGATTTTGCTGCTTTAAATAAAATATTGTAAACTAGTACACACAATACTAATGTACTTTAATTATTATGTCTTTGCAATAATTTGCAGATATACGTATGTATCTGTTTAATCCAACTTGATTATATTTGTGTCATGAGAAAATTGCAACTACGAATACATTTGCAACTATATACTATCTGGAATATCTTAAGTGACATAGCAGCGACCTACAAAATTTTACGATAAGAACAATAGAGTGTAGAACAATAGTGTAAAGCTATCAAGCTGGAATTTAAACTTTTGTAACATATAACGTAAATGCAATAAATGTATATATGTAAAAGGTTATATAAATTATTATATCGTTTGCTTTACTATGTATATTAAAATTTCCTAACTTTTTATTATTAATAAAAGAATTTTGGGACATTAATATATACATATCTACTTTTCTTGTCTTCAATACATTTATATATAAAAGAATTTCAAAAATAATCCATAAGGTCCTACATGCAAAAAATCTTGTGAAAAATTTTAATTAAACACTACAATTAATGATTACAATTAAATATTTATTATACAAATGCCATACAGTAATTTATTTAGCTATTTATAGACGAAAATTTAGCTGGTGATTTTAATCTAGATTTTTATCTAGGTGATACAGATACGCAACAAAAATTATTCACAGGGTTAATTCAAACGCATACGTATACCTCACCGTCGATGTTTTCGACATCAGCCACGTCAAACTCATTTCTCCCGAACGTGCGCATAAATCCCTTTATGAGCGTTGTGTCACAAATTCACAGCTTGTCGCCGATTTTATTGCATGGCAGATTGCTCGACGTAGCCGCGGCTTTTACGCCGTTGGATAGAAGTATCGAAACTTCCGGCATTCCGTCTGACAATGCGCGGGAGAGAGGTATCGAGCGCAAGGTGCACACGCACGCCATGGCATGTCGAACAGCGTGTGCGCCAGACGCATAGATGCGGTATAAATGCATATCTCGTAATGTACGGACCGTCTCGAATTTAGCCTGTCGAAGTACGTGACGATGTTCTTTTAACGGGTTGAGTGGCTATATGTTATAAAGTCGATATTTCCGTACTGATAGGATGCTTACGCGCGCGACTTTTTTTATGGATATCTTGATCCTATTTATGTATAAACTTTCTTAAATGTCGTCCAAAATTTATCTAATAACTGAAATAAATAAATTTAAGATAAATAACTTTATCTAATAACTGAATGAAAAGAAATTTTTTTTAATGTTCGAAGCAAATAAAGAAAACATTTATTGAAAAAAGTTATTATACACGGAAAGAATAGTTTTGCTAAAGTAATTGCTATTTAAAAATTTAGCTTTGTAATAAAATATTTTTACTATGAAAAGGCACAAAAATTACGTTGCATTATTGTTTTTAAAAAAATAGCTGTAGCTAAATTTAAATTTATAATTGCCTTGATAGTCCACAGCTTCTACAACATTATAGTAATTTTAAATATAAAATTTTCTCCGTACATAGAATGCAGAATCAGTTTCGTAATTATACAAAGTTAAAATCAGTAATTATTATTTATCTTTCGTGACGTTATACATATTTATAACGAAAGAAATTGAACTTTTCTGTTTTATATTTTGTATTTTGATATGAAAATGACGCGATGATGGATACAAGAACCCGCGTGACTTGAAGCTATAATTCAACACGGCGATAATTGTCGCGAATAATAGTTTCTCTAAATCAGACGTATACGCCCTTACATTCTTTCAATTTTCCCCGCTTGTACTTATCATCGAGAAATAGCGCGAAAGCTCTTTCTTTACCCTTGATCGCGTGATCGTTTGGCGTAAATAACAATTAAATAAAACTCAGGGTACGAACTCATTTCCTGTATACTCTTTCTATTTTTAGCCACTAGTGAATTATACCATTGTCATCATAAATCTCACTTACCCGCGATACGCGTAATGATTGATAATGAGATGAATTATATATCAGTTCGAGCGAGAATTTTGTCTCTCATTTTGCTGGTTTTTAATTTTTTCGGAACAATGCATTCATAGCACTTCTTATCATATTCTTTATCTTCTTTATTATCTTTTTCTTCTTTATTATATTTTTCAAATTAAAATAAAAAAAATTTCGAATTACACATAATATAATAATGATCGAATTAATAATGAAGATTATTTGTTGATATTAGCAAATGATGTAACGATAAGACGTAATGACATCACGCAAAGATCTAATTAAAGATAATTAATCGTCCTAAGGTCCAATTTTATTGATAATAAATCTCACATTGCAATTCCAATAATATTGTTATTTATGCCTGTATCAGTATAGATAAATTTCTGATAATCGGGGCGAAGCGATAAATTTCTTCCAAATCGGGCGATCGGCTGCAGGTGTATTACAGGTGCAATACCTGTCACCGTGTATGACCACGCACATGGAGCAGGTGATTGCCGACAGAATTATTCTTTTGTGATCTACAATTGATCTTAATAAGCTGATCTTGTAATACACAGGCGTTAAATTTTAATATTCCTGTAATATAACTAGATATCATAATCGCTATTATATGAAATTTATTCGTATTGGCCTGACGCAACTTTCATGCGCGTGTCAACTTTCATACCGACATATCTATTATCTAATTGCCAGCATCCATAAACGATGATAAAAGAGTAGTAGAACTAATTGTTTTATCTGCGATGGAAACTGGTTGAAAACATTGCTGGTTTGAAACAAACAGACAAAATGCGAATTACAATGCGATTACAGAGAAACTGTAATTAATGTATATATCACCATTGTGAAGAATATTCATATTAATAATATACATTATTAGTTATTAAATGAAAATATCTGAATATGAAATATATGAGGAGACACGTAAGCGTATAATTTTGAATATCATCGAGCCTTGTAATCGAAATTATGCATACGCATGTTTTCTCGTTCCTTATTCATTTTAACTCTCATTCATATTCTTTTTTTCTCCCTCCCCTCCCCTCCCCCCCCTCCCTCACACAACACACACACACACACACACACACACACACACACCCTCCCTCTCATTCACTCACTCACCCAATTCTGGTAAAAAATACGATAATCCCCTTCTTCTTTTTCAATAGAAATATTCAAGTATAGACGAAAGAAACGGATTCCACCTGCAATTAACTCCTTAATTAAGAGTAGGTATCACTCTTAATCGTTGATCGGTCTGTAACGATCATGTACTCCGCAGAATTCATTAGTGATTGTACGTAACTACCGCTGCGATAAGAATCAATTCCATTTTTCCGCGTCAAAGTCCTTTAAATGGAAACGATTTTCATCATAAGAAGGAGAAAATAAGTGTACGCTACAGTAGTTGTTCATAGGAGAGATTAATTTTAATGAACGCTAGACGGGAATACTTTGTAAGACGGGACCGCGGTATCTGACTCGGTTGTACGTACAAATTCGTTGCCTGTGAAACAATCATTATTCCCGGCATATCGTCTGCGTTATTGAGCAAGAACGGGACTTCCGTCGGGGAATCAGATACCACCGCATGTGCATCGCGGCCAGATGCGCACACCTATCCACCTATCCTCTTCGCGTACCTGCTTGCCTACCTGCGATTCCCTGCGTGCATCCGTGTAGGAAGCCTCTTGTGCACGGATTACAAAGTGGATATTGGCTGCACGAGCTGCATTCTCTATGATCTGTGCCGTAGTGCAGATGGACCAAATTTAAAGGCATCTCCACAATGATCACATACACGATGATTTTAAAATCAAACTTTTGCAAACCCTTAGGAAAAAATGTTTCAATATACGGATTAATTCAGTAACTGTGATGATACTTTATCAATAACTGATGAAATATCATTAGTTATTGAATAGTTAATTAGTATATATATTGAAACACTTTTTCTCTTAAGGATAGAAATACGCGAATATATTAAAGCTTTACAAGTTAGTCTCTTAATCTTTTTCATAGATTCGGAAAATTCTCTTTTACGTCAATCAAATTGTATTTTAATAAAATAAATTGTTTGTGTTTTATAGAAAATGTATAAATAGAAGTATATTGTATGATGGGACAGTATTAAAAAAATATCTTTTAGAGATATATATATATATATTTGTATTGTGTATTTTGAATACTTTTGTTGCGAACGCAGCTTGTAATTAGAATGTGTCGACCGACACATGTGAACTCTATCAGAACGTAGAACAAGAGCCTATGGAAATTGGCAATTATCGCAACCCATAACTAAAGGTCTTAGTCGTGCGTTCTATCGAGACATAAGGTCTGCACGCGGTGTCGAGGGTCGGAGTGCAGGGTCATTATGCAATAATTAGAAATTAAAAAGCTTCGCAGTGTCTGCGCTTCCCCCTCGCATTAGCTATCTCCACTCTAATGCACCACCCTCCCGCGTTAGAAGTCTTCCTTCATCCTCCTATTTAGTATATCCTGCACCACGGTTAGTTCGTTGCAGTTAAGCGTATCGTCAGCTGGCGAATTGCATTTCTGCAACGACGGGTTAACGAACCTACCGCCTACTACGTTCCCTCCGTCGCTACCTAATTTCTTTTACGATGCAGAACATCGAAGAGGAGAGGCAAGGACATCAAATTGCCGTCAGAACAACATGCAGGTAGTAGCGGCTGGTAAACATCGCTTGAGGAACTGACCTTCTCCTCTTCAAGTCTCATTATACCTCGGTTTATCTTCTCGTGGCGTAATGCGCGGCCGAATGAGAGATCGATGACTTTTCAACGGCTTCCAATAAATCTGCGTTTTGTGTGCATTACTATTCGCTGCTTACAAGCTTAACGTCACAAGTTATATTTGATCATGTAAGCGAATTTCATCACGTTATTTTATTTGAAATATATTATAATAATAAAAATCACTGATTTATGTTAGCAATTCAATATCTTGGGCATTAAAATTAAACGTAATATAAAAAGCAATACTTTATGTTGTAATATTTTTTTATAAAATATTATTTGTATTAATTAAAAGAAACATATTAAGCAGAAATTTAAGATTTTATAAATAATTTTACTCTTGTTTACTCAATACTTTTTTTGACCTTTATTTAAAAAAAATAAAAAACTTTGATAACCACCAGATATCAATTGTATATCATTTTCTACAAATAGGCGTAAAACTTAAATTATACACTAAGTGAGTTTAGAATTGGAAAATTTGTTCGATACTTCCTAATCTATTGACTCATCGCTTATCAGACAGGTAGAAAAACGATTAGTATTTAATATGCTTTCGTCAAGACGAGACGTTAATCTCGACGTTAATCTTACCGAATAGTTCACAGGTAATAAACAACTCTATGATTTATTACAAAAATGTTCGCGAAATTGGAAACTGTGCACGTGCTGGCGCATTTTCATTTACACGATTGTACACGGCTATGAAAGGCTCGCGAGTTGCTGGAATATCCATCTGTCCATGGCATGATTTTCATGTGGGAAAGAACTCTCCTCTTTGCTCAGAGCTAACGCCTAGGGAACTGGTTTCTACCATCGCCTTCTCCTCGTTTCTAAATCCCTCTATCTCGGACCTTTCTCCTTCCTCGCCATGAAAGAAACGTCTCCGCGGATCCTAGATTTTATGAGTCTCTAATGAGAAGGGATTGCATTAGCATGCAATCGCGTGAACGATACGTTATATTCTTCTTGATGTACAAGATAGGACCAAGCTATTATTGCTATCTCTTCGACAGGTGGAGAACGCGCTTAAAGAATGTCTTTTAACTTTCCCAGAATTCCGTTAAAAATATATATACTTTACGAGCCGTGAACAGTTTCAATGATTTATGCTCAGCGGAACTGAATTTTTTTCATGATGTTAACCTTATTGAAAGGAATTGAACGAACAAACTCCGCGAGATATTTAGAATATTGTAGGAAAATTATTGCAAATTAATTGTTATGTCGATGTATATCTATTCTTAT